TTATGCTGTAACAGTCATTATGATTGAAATCTACCATCGATGACGTCATATGTGTACATCGATTTACATCATTTTATCATTTTATGTAATTAAAGTTTGGGTTATTAAAAAGTCACAGTGGTGGCAGAGTGCAACATAATTTATTGTTTCTGTGTAATGTATGAATATGTATAAGATGGAGTGCTCAGGAGGTTAAGAATGGTTTATTACATGAACGGAGGAAATGCATACAAATTGAATATATACGAGGGCTGTTCGGAAATTATTGAGACATTTACTTTAACTCCATAAAGGACAGAGACAAATTCAGGAAAATTTGTCCACCTTAAACGAAGAATAAATTAAACAGCCATGCAAAATTTCTAATTTCTAGGATTAGCAGAAAATTTCTGGTGAAATCATAAGCATGCATATGTCTATCCACCCGGAGCAGCATCAGTACGTCATTTTAACGTCACGGTAGCCGGGGATGTTTTCGCATGTGATCGATCGGGAAGCATTTAATATCCTTCCTTTGTTAATATACATACATACCTTACAAAAATCAAACTGTCTATACTTTAAAAGAATCTTTTTAAAAAATAGTCTGTTGCTACTCTTGTTTAAATTTTCCATACGTCATATATACAGGATAATTTAGTATCATGCAGTGTCGATTTATGCAGGGAGGGTCAACGTTTTTAATTCCGTAGCGGTAAAAATTGATGGTTGTCCTGAGCGTTTGATTATATACGTTGGTTGAATTATTGGTTAAATAAAAAAGTACATACATATGAGATAACAAACCCTTCGACAATTTTCCCTTTTGTTAATGTTTTAGCAGGTTTTTCAGTCTGGAAAAAAGTTTTACATAGCGGTTCACAAAATTTTAGGTCTCTCGCTGCTCCGCCTTAACGTCAAAATCCATTTTTTCGTCGGAATCAGATTCCTATACCGAGCTTATTTTTTTTAATGATCTCCATATTCCTGATCAGAATTCTAACAAACTTGCTTAACATAAAGTAAAAATAAAATTGAAAAATTAGATACATAAATTGAATTATCTCTGTACTTAGTATGGGTCCACCAAGTGGTTGAACATTGGTGATACATATTTTTAATATCTGATTTCGTGACTGCTCCGGGTAGCCCTACCATTGACACATTTTTATACCACTGAAGACATGAAATTTAATATATGTAAATTATATCTTGCTTTTATGAATTCTTAATGTTTGTCAAACATATATGCAAATTTTCACCGAAAGACGTTCATTAGAAAGAAAAATATACACAATGTCTCAATAATTTCCGAAAAGCCCTCGTACATGGAAGGATGCTATATTGGAATGTTGGGATTCGAACATTGACAATTATGGATAAAGATAATTTTGGTTAAAGGTGGTCTTCTTATTGAAAATGTGTATTTAATTTTATTTCTAAAATTATTTCAAGATTCATCAATCTGTCTTAAATCTATCCATTTGATTACCATGACTTCGTAGCGTAGTGGTTTGATAGCTGGATTGAAGACATAATGATCGTGAGTTCGAGACTCACAGTGCGTGTTTCTAATCTGCGCTTTGATTTTTTTCTCTGTGTGCATTTTCCCTATGTTTTCTTGTATTATTTTATAATATATGTAAGAGATATATAATGTAGAAGATATATGATACAACATTACACCTTGAATATATCTCGGGAAAAAACTACTTGTATTTTAATGACCCAAAACTCTTACACTGTAGCTGCTAGCTTGTTTTATTATTATTATTTTTTTTAATTTTCAAACAATCTTTTTTAAAATAAGAGTATTGAACAAGTAAAATTATTGTCAAGCAACAAACTTGCAACTATGAAAATCACTGTCCCACAAATGATTATCATACATGTAGTTTGGTTTTGTACATATATCTATAAATAGAAACAGGTGATTTCCTTTTAAAATATCAGAGTAGGCCGAGTCGTCGGTAAGGCAGCTATGGCTCTTTGTAATCAATAATTATGCAAGAAGATCAATTGATTTATTGTACAGTCCATTAATGCAAAAATAAAATCTATGAAGTAAAAAAACTTTTAGATGAAAATATGAAAACAAAAATAATATTGTACATGTTGTAAGAGATGGGTAAATCCATAGTGTTTCTTTTGACTTTATTTAACAGCCGTGTACTCTGGCAGCAGCCAAGAAATTAGAAAGCATTTGCTAAAGCTTGTTCGGTCAATTCCGAATTCCCAATTTCCGAAAATTATCTTTAATCTGATTTTAAGTGACTAAATTATTTAAGCATTTACAAATTATATTAAAGTCAGGATTTACTTTTCAGGCTGTTATTGGAAACAACCCTTCTTGTCATCCACTGAAAGTTTGGAATATTAACTTCGGTCTGTGTATCTGTCCGTTTGTCAGTCTGTCTGTAATTCTGTCTGTCTCTAACATATTCGTTTTTTAAACGATACTATGAGAAGCCTTTCTGCAGCATTTCTGTCTGTAACTATTTCATTTACACTAGGGATGTCAAAATTTTCAATAGTTGATATTCGAATATTCGATAGGTGTATTCGAATATATTCGAATATTCGATAAAATAAATACATCTTGCATCATTACATGTAAATATATATCTTCACTCCTCTGTCAAGCAGTATAGGTTTTATGCCATTATTCTGGAATAAAAACTCATGTGTAGTTCGGAAAATACACTACAATTAAATATATATATTAAAAAAAGATTGAATAGTATACATCCCAAATGTAATTATTGTTTTTTGAAAATTCAAAATATTCTTCAGTATGTTCGAGATTAATTGATCGTCTTACTATAGTCTGCACTGATAACTCTTACAAATTTATAGCAAACAGAACAATTAACTAATAGAGCAAAATCATAAGCAATTACTTTTTGCTAATTATAATTTCCCGTTAATGATTTTTAATGACATTTACATAAACAAGAAGTCTGTGTGTTTACTGTCAAACTGGGTCCTTACAACAATACAAGCTGATTATTAGTACTGGAAACTATTTTTACACTAATTAAGTGAACAAATAAATAAATTACTCTAATAGATGCACTCTTCACACCTTTAAGGTAATCCAAGAGGAGTGTCTTTTAATTTTGTACAAACTGGATTCAATTTCTGATTAAACTTAACGGATTTTTCTCTCTGTTAATGCTTGTATACCTAAAAACGAATATTCGAATCATAAATTTATATTCGAATATCAACTCATCGAATGAATATTCGAAAATTCGTTGACATCCCTAATTTACACCCAATATCTCGAGAAACCTTTGCGCTTTTGCAATTAAATATTACATAACAGCTCCTTATGGCCTAATTAAGACGCTAAATATATATTTTATTATTTTTCTTCGTAGTCTGATAGAAAAAAAAAGTTCCTTGCATGAAAAATAGTAGTGCTCCGACATTTTGTATTCAACACCTTATAAACATTACAATCCACATGCAAATGAAAATACAATAATATTATATTTTGTCTTGCAGTTTAATTTATTTTAAAAAAAAGTTCGTTTTTTTTGGGACAACCCTAGCGTGATACCAAAATCAATTGAAGCATTTATTCACAAAAGCAAATTAAAATTTCCTAAAGAAAAATCCAGAATGATCGTATTACAGTAACTGTTGTGGTAGAAAACAAGTTTCTGACCTTGATCTAGATTTCTGAAATGTATTATGTACTGTTTAGTGATGCATATAAATAAATGCAATTTTGTTAAATATACCGTAAATGATACCTTGGCTCGGGTATGTGTAAAACACGAAACAAGAAACAATGAAATGAAAAAGACACATTCAGCATAAAATACCCAATGACCTTAAGATTTAAACAAATGGGGACAGCATTAGCTTTTGATTTCATTTCGTTGGATAACAGATGCAGCCCAAACAACTAGCTCTCTCGCACTCAAAAATATGTACACAGCTTTTATTAATACGTACAATACTACATGTATTTCCTGAAAGAAATGGTTACTCAGTTTTTTTGGTTTAGAATAATATTATGTCTTCAAATGATACAAAGCTACTACTTCCTAGTTTTATCAAAGAACTTAAGCAGTATGTGAGTATACAGGAAAATCAAATTTTACTTGCTATTCTACAGCACGGACATTTAAGATTTAAAGATTCTTACAAAAAGCTTGAGGTACCCTTGTCAGTGTGGTCCACTTGGGGGCCAAATGAACAAAAAAAAAAACCACATCGCAAAGGTTAATTCTAGTATTGTAGATAATTCTCATCGGTCCAGAGCAAGAACATGTAAATCAGAGTACTAGTACAAGCATGTGGTTCCTTCCATGAAAATTTTTATCCGAATATTTTTGGGTCAGTGCAAACTTATTAAAAAAAAAAACATTATTAAATATTTTGTTCTTTGTGATTTAGACATTAGAATTCTGGAAATATTATATGTGAATATCATTGCCATTGTTTAATAGTTTTCTTTACTACATATATAACAAGTAACAAAGTAATAAATATTCATTTATATCATTTAATGTTTTGTTTATACTTTTATAAAGTAATAATCAGAAAGTATTTTTATTTATATTTCAGGGACTTTGTCTCTTCCAAGGTGATTATGTTTTTCCAGCTGTTGATATTTGTATTAAGTAAATCTGTCAATATTTTGTGTGTGTGAGGGTGTGTGAGATTGTGTCAGAGAGAGATAGAGAGAGAGAGAGAGAGAGAGAGAGAGAGAGAGAGAGAGAGAGAGAGAGACTTGTGCGGGTTTCAATGCACTCTTTTGCATGTGTTATACAAAGTAAAAGCTGTCCCACTTTGTTGAAATTTTCAGGTTTATGATTAATATACAACCTAATGATGCCTCAATATCAATTTAACTAAACTGTGGCCTTTTCATTCTATAGAAGAGGATTTTCCCTATATTTCTATAACTTTCATAGTTACATTCTTTTACTATAATAGTTTCTTCTTTCTCGTTTCATGTTTTACACATACCCACTTGGCTCTATCATTATCATTCAAAAAATTGAGAGAATAGAACAACTCAAAGCAGGTACATTACTTTATATTATTTTTCTACTTTTGTTTATCACATTACATGATGAGATATTATAAAATAAATTATTATCTATCGGTGCCTGTTTTTGAGGGTAACAGTTGAAATTGACATCCCAGGGAGAACCATATATTGTAAACCGACGCGACAGCGGCTATTGTCAATGGTTAAAAATATTCAAAGGAGTGTCAATATCAACTGTTTTCTCGCCACTATTTGTTTTATTATACTGAATGCCTTATACGTCCCCTACCTGTTAAACCAGAGGGTACTATTACTTTTCCTCTGCGTCTGTCCGTCTGTCTGTCTACCTGTCCCCGTCTTCTGTCCCACTTGGTTTTCCACACTTTTTTTCTAAACACTTGCAGATATTTAGGTGAATTTTGGTATGTAAGTGTATCTTGATGAGTTACAGATCAAGTTCGAATTTAGCATCGCTTCATTGATTTCTGCTAGAATAATGGCATTTTGAATTTTTCACATTCGTTTAATTAAGATCGGGTTCGTGCTGCACTAACTTCCGATTGTCAACATAAATACGAAGAGAGAAAAATTAAAGACGTTAGAAAAATGTGTTGAATTTTCGTGTTAATGTGGATTATTTTATTAGTTTAAGGCATGCACAACCTTACCAGAAGTATCTGTCGAGACTGAAGGTCTGCTGGTTTGTACTTATAGCAAAGGAAGAGAAAAGTACTTAAGCAGTTTGGAATTGAAACTTTACATAGAATAAATAGAATAATGATCCTTGATAAAGTGTCTTTATGTTCTTAGTGTAGTCTACTTGTGTGCCAAGTTATATTGAAATCAGACCAAAACTGTAGGAGGAGTAGCATTTTGAAACAATTTTACAGAAATTTCTATTTTTGATTAGTAACCACGGCAACACAGTTCATCGAAATCAAAAACAGATACATAGAATTATGTATCTTAGTTCAGTTTACTTGTGTGCCAAGTCATATTGTAATCAGACCAAAACTGTAGGAGGAGTAGCATTTTGAAACAATTTCACAGAAATTTCTTTTTTTAGTAACCACGGCAACACAGTTCATCGAAATCAAAAACAGATACATTGAATTATGTATCTTAGTTCAGTTTGCTTGTGTGCCAAGTTATATTGTAATCAGACCAAAACTGTAGGAGGAGTAGCATTTTGAAAGAATTTCACAGAAATTTCTATTTTTAGTAACCACGGCAACACCGTTCATCGAAATCAAAAACAGATATACAGAATTATGTATTTTAGTGAAGTCTACTTGTGTGCCAAGTTATATTGAAATCAGACCAAAACTGTAGGAGGAGTAGCATTTTGAAAGAATTTCACAGAAATTTCTATTTTTAGTAACCACGGCAACACCGTTCATCGAAATCAAAAACCAATATAGAGAATTATGTATCTTAGAGTAGTCTACTTGTGTGCCAAGTTATATTGAAATCGGACCAAAACTGTAGGAGGAGTAGCATTTTGAAAAATTGTTTACAGTCAGACGGACAGACAGACAGATGGACGGATGCCGGACGCATTTCTATCACATAAGCTCTTCTGGTCTCTGACCAGTAGAGCTAAAAATCATGCAGTTTTACCATGGACACAGCTTTTGCATATTATCATTATTAAATGACATCATGAAGAAAAAATGGGAACCCAGTAGGGGACATGTATTGCTTATTTATTACTCTCAGGATGCTTGTTGATTTAGGATGCCAGCTAAAAACGCTGCTTATTATTTCGTTACATGTAAGAAAGCTTTCAAACTCCTTGCTTCTATTTCTTTTTAATTATTAAGCTTTGAGAAAGATTTACAGTCCAACATTTTTATTACACTGGCCCCTTGAAATCCGTTTAGTTTGCGGGATTTAGTACTTAGACTGGAGGTCAAAGTTTTTTCTTCAATTTTATGTAAATATGTAAAAATATATTTATGTATAAAAAAAATGGTTAGCAAGAACTATATGTACACGTAATGTGAAATCGGACATTTCATAGATGTTTTTTTTTCCACAAGAAAATGGATAAGACTTTGGTACCCATCATGTTGGCAATGATAGTCTGCTAAAGCCTTTGAACAAATTTTGTCCTATACTCGGCACTCAAGACCATTGAGCAGGGAGGGATCTTTTTCGTGCCGGTGTGACGACGAAAAATGACCCCAGTAGAATATTGACCATTTTTCTACGTAGAAAAATTACCCAGGGTCAGTATTCTACGAAAAGTAGGTTCATTTTTCGACCGTAGAAAAACATTCCAGACCAGTAATTTTACGACTTCACACACGTTTAAAAATTACCCCCTTAGAAATTTGACCCCCTACTTTTTTATCCAATGAAACCCTATATGTCCCCTGATTTTTTTTTTTATACTTTCAAATGTTAGAGGGGAATTTTTTTATGTACTTTATTCCTTTTCAATATACATGATATTTGATTGCATATCTTAATATTTTTTTGTCCTGCAGAATCCCAATGAATATTAATTTATCGAGGAGCATACATTAACGGTTATATTTTTGTGATGTTGTTTTTAAGTCATTTAAGGGTTTTATTCCGAACATGGCATGATATGTTTCTAATAACCATAAACTTGTAAGGAGACCTCTGAATTTAGCACTTTTAATCATTTGAATTCATTTTTGAAAATCCAAAAACATAGCTTAAAGAAGCAAGAAAACAAGGTAATTTAGCAAAATAAAAATTCATTTCCCTTAGCTCTTACATTTAACTTACATTTATCTGTATGCATTCTGCTTTGGAATACATATTCTTAACTACATTATATAAAATACTATACTTTTTCCTGTATATACGGGAAATAGCATACACATCGAGAACGTTCTAATAATGATATTAAAAATAATCCCCCCCAAACGGGCAAAAATTTACACCTGAGTGAAAAATTGTTCAGATATCTATAAATTCATTAAAAGAACTTCCTCTCACAACACTTTTTAGCCCAAAGACAGCTGACAAATGGTTGCTGTAAAATTCCATTTTTTCTGAGATATTCTTAGACACTAACTTTGCAAATACAAATGAACGCTTAGTCTATCATGCATTTACTTCGATATCTATCCTAGTACATGCTGTCCAAAAGTTAAGCCAAAGTATAAGTTGGAATTTTTGTGTAAAAGTGTTTCAAACTCCAAGATCAAAAGGTCAAAATTGGTTGTATCCAAAGAAAGGTCTTATCACAAACAAGACGCCCACGGGCCTTATAGGTCACCCGAGTATCATGTCACAACTTTTCAACAATTGAATTCATTTAAACAAGAGGCCATGAAATTCACAATTTTGAAAAGGCACCATTGCTTATTATAACTTAACATTTTGCCTGCTTACGTTGGTTACTTTATACCCAGAGGTAAATCAGAGCAACAGAGATAAAAAGGATTTTCACTTTATAACCAGTTGTGCTTCAAACCCCACAGGAACCACTGACCCTGTGGGCTGATATTTCAAAACTCATGAAATTTTATCATAAATTTTATTTTATTATAAATGGTTGATTAATACCAAAGAGCAGATGTCAAAGCATTAATTTATTTCATACTATGTAACCCCCATCCCCATCCCAAGTACCCCCTGACCCAGGGGCCCTGAAATTAACTATTTTGGAAAAGAAACCTTTCATCATCATTAATATGTATTTAGAACATTTGCATAATACCAGGAAGCAAAGGAAAAGATTTTCAAAGAATTCAGGCATTTTCACTATACAATCATTAGATCCCAGTCCTAACACCGACGCCTGACCCAGGACCCTGAAATTCCCAAGTTTAAAAGAGGCATCCTTACTCATTATAATTATGTACATAGCGCACTAGTTAAATATCCAGGAGCAGAGGAAAGGAATTTTAAAGAAGTAATGTGTTTTCTCTATATAATCAATACGTTGTATTTCCATTAGTGAATTCTTCAAAATTAGAGGCGCGTTTGGTCGTCTGACTGGGACAGCAAGGCGTTGCGGATAATACAAAACATGCCAGTCTCAATCAAAATTTAAATGTTAAGTGCATTTGTCATTCTAACTAAAGAATAGAAGACCTAAAAGACCTATGTAGGAGAGCAAAAACCCTCTTTTTATCGTCCATTAATCATGATTAATAAAGAATACGACATTTCCAAGGTATGTGCATGTATTGGCTTTAAATGTACCATTACGATAAATAGATACATGTACATACGATCACCAATAGATGTAAATTAATATCCTTGTTATCTCTACTCTCGAACTTGTGATTTTCAGGGCCCTGGGTCAGGCGTGTTGACCTATTGGAGTTTTGGCGCAACGGAACATTTATGACCTTTATTGGAGATGGGAGGGACTTTATATACATGTAATATGGTGAAGATGCCGATTGATGCATAAAACCCCTGTCACACCGGGGCTACGTCCCCACGGCGACTGCACGGCGTCCTCAAAAAATGCAAAACGCCGAGGTGATCGCAGTAGAGTCTCCTACAGCGCCGTGACAACGCGACGAGATCTCCACTGAACGCCGTAGGGTCGCGTAGGGTCTCCTAGAACGCCAGGGGACGGCGATCACTTTGGGCATGCACAAAGTACGCGCCGTGTGATCGCAGTCTGATAAGAACGCAGTAGAAACGTAGTATGATCGCTGTATCAGCGCGGTGAAATCTCCAACAACGTAGTGGGAGCTCCGCACGAACGCCGTGAAGACGCACATGATCGCGGCACGAACGCAGTGATAGTAGACCGCGCTTCCACGGAGACCTCACGGAGATGTCGCGGAGTCCTTGGAGATGTCACTGCGTTTCTATCGCGTTTTTACGGCGCTTCTAATAAGATTTATCGTCTTGAGATTTTTTGGACTGCGATTACACGGCGACAGCACGGAGTCGTCACTGCGATCATTGCGCTCCCATGGCGTTTCTACAGCGTCCGTTGGCGATCACAATGCGCTTTCACGGCGTTGTTAGGGCGTTGTCAGCCAGCTCACAAAACAAGAGCAATGGGATCATATTTGATCAGCAGTAAT